GCCTTGAATATGCCAGTCAGTACTGTTCAATGACTTATTAAGAAGTGTAAAGTTCAGGGATCTCTTGATACCAAGCCAAGGTTAGGTAGTCCAAGAAAGATTGCTGCCACAACTGCCAAAATAATTGTTCAGGATACAAGGAAAAACCCACAGGTAACCTCAGGAGAAATACAGGCTGCTCTGGAAAAAGACAGTGTTCTTGTTTCAAGGAGTACAATACGACAAGACTTGAACAAAACAAGAAGCCTTTACTGTGTCAGTGACACACAGGCTTGTCAAGGTGTTGTCAGGCATATTGTAACTGGGAGCAAAGTCCCTGAAATGAGTGAAGATCTGCTTAAATGTTCTGCCTTATGTCATGGATTCACTTCCTCAATGTCATCCATTCACTATGTTTTTCTTCTTCCTTTTACTTTCTTTTCCTTTTCCTTTCCACAATCTTGAAAACGTTTATCAAAGCAACTATATTCTCTTCCCAGCCAAAAAATGACATTCAATATCATGCAAAAATACTAATTAGTGCATGTATAGTATATAAAAGATCCAAGGTTAATGCAAGTATAACAAGAAACATTGGTTAAATTTGCACATCTTGGCATAAGACCAGGGGTGGACTGACAAGTCATGGGGCCCCCGGGCAATAGGGGATCATGGGGCCCCTGTGCCCTTGCCCAAATAAACAAAGCATCAACAAATCCAGATAAAAATTCTAAATAGTGAGATCCACTGGATTTGACCTATGAAATACAGACCCTGATTTACTAATGTGCCTGGGCACATTTCCGTGGGATAAAGTCTACTTTTCAATAGAGTCCATCTACTTTTAAACGGCAAAGACATTTACTAAAGAAAGAGTCTAACAAGTAGACTCGAAAGTGAATTTACTAACTAGGCACAATCCAGGCATCAGTCTAAGAAAGCAATTGTGCTAGAAGCACGTCTAACACAATGAAAAATCACTGCAGAAACATGTTCAAATTGAAATTTGCTTTCCCAAATATCTGGACTTCTTTAACCTCCTTGGCGGTATGATTCTTTCCGATTTTTTGTGCTGAAAGCAGTACCATTTTTTTGCATGGAAATATGTAGTTTTTTATTGTAGGCTGTAATTTTTAGGAATAACTCACTGAAATCTGTACGAACACGAGTCTATTAAACATCCCGGGTAGGATAAAATTTGAAACATGAAATCATAAATTATAATTTAATAAATAATCATAAAAAATAATAATATAATAATAATAAATTTAATTCAATATTATAATCAAACCAAAAACACTGAAATTTGAAATACAGAGGCAAATTCGCACATCGCTGAGCAAAGTCGCAAAATCGTTTTCAGTGTCTGATGACAAATTTCCCCACGAATCATTATCACTCAATTCTGCAAGTGGTTCTGATTTACTATCACTGTTCTAAAACCGCTTTTGACGTAAAGGGACGCCTTTTGGACGCCATGGACTTTTCTAAGTTTCCAGGCAGAAAGAACATTCAAAATGCAGGCAGGGCACAGGACAAAGCAGTAGGGACAAAATATATGTGAAATGCATTGAAAGAGCAATGACAGCAAAAATGACATTTTTTAAAAATTTCAAATTTCCCGCCGGTTCCGGCGCCCGTACATCCCGACATCACAGGGACCGGAACACAGAAGCCAGATGCCAGCATCGGCCGGAGGAGATGGCCGAGGATGCTGCAGGGGACACATCGCGGGAGCGAAGGACAAGGTAAGTGCTGCAGGGACCCCCAGAGCAACGCCACATGGTAAGCCCGAGTGTAGCTCGGGGTTACCACTCTTGGTATAGAAATTTTACCCCGAGCTACACTCGGGAATACCGCTAAGGAGGTTAAACAATATCTTACATTTCAAAACATTTTTTCAATCGGTAAAAAATAGTTTTTTAAGGGAATTCATGAAAGTCAAGAATTAGACGCTTTTCCAACGTCTATGCAGGGATAGAAATGAGCATGTGCAGGACACAATTTAGCCATCTGCTGTAGGCACTTTCTTTTTAGACGCTGTTTAATAGTAAATCTCTGTGTGGAGTCCTCTGACAGATGGCACTCGATCGCGTCTAATGTGTTTAACAAACAGCACTATTTGTAGCTAGGCATATCTTTATGTATTCTAATTTGATTTCATTAGTTCTATTGATTCTGTTTTTGTTTCTTATCCTGTATTTACAGTCAGGTCCATAAATATTGGGACATGGACACAATTCTAACATTTTTGGCTCTATACACCACCACAATGGATTTGAAATGAAACAAACAAGATGTGCTTTAACTGCAGACTGTCAGCTTTAATTTGAGGGTACTTACATCCAAATCAGGTGAATGGTGTAGGAATTACAACAGTTTGCATATGTGCCTCCCACTTGTTAAGGGACCAAAAGTAATGGGACAGAATAATAATCATAAATCAAACTTTCACTTTTTAATACCTGGTTGCAAATCCTTTGCAGTCAATTACAGTCTGAGGTCTGGAACGCATAGACATCACCAGACGCTGGGTTTCATCCCTGGTGATGCTCTGCCAGGCCTCTACTGCAATTGTCTTCAGTTCCTGCTTGTTCTTGGGGCATTTTCCCTTCAGTTTTGTCTTCAGCAAGTGAAATGCATGCTCAATTGGATTCAGGTCAGGTGATTGACTTGGCCATTGCATAACATTCCACTGCTTTCCCTTAAAAAACTCTTTGGTTGCTTTTGCAGTATGCTTTGGGTCATTGTCCATCTGCACTGTGAAGCGGCGTCCAATGAGTTCTGAAGCATTTGGCTGAATATGAGCAAATAATATTGCCCGAAACACTTCAGAATTCATCCTGCTGCTTTTGTCAGCAGTCACATCATCAATAAATACAAGAGAACCAGTTCCATTGGCAGCCATACATGCCCACGCCATGACACTACCACCACCATGCTTCACTGATGAGGTGGTATGCTTAGGATCATGAGCAGTTCCTTTCCTTCTCCATACTCTTCTCTTCCCATCACTCTGGTAAAAGTTGATCTTGGTCTCATCTGTCCATAGGATGTTGTTCCAGAACTGTGAAGGCTTTTTTAGATAACGTTTGGCAAACTCTAATCTGGCCTTCCTGTTTTTGAGGCTCACCAATGGTTTACATCTTGTGGTGAACCCTCTGTATTCACTCTGGTGAAGTCTTCTCTTGATTGTTGACTTTGACACACATACACCTACCTTCTGGAGAGTGTTCTTGATCTGGCTAACTGTTGTGAAGGGTGTTTTCTTCACCAGGGAAAGAATTCTTCGCTCATCCACCACAGTTGTTTTCCGTGGTCTTCCGGGTCTTTTGGTGTTGCTGAGCTCACCGGTGCGTTCCTTCTTTTTAAGAATGTTCCAAACAGTTGTTTTGGCCACGCCTAATGTTTTTGTTATCTCTCTGATGGGTTTGTTTTGTTTTTTCAGCCTAATGATGGCTTGCTTCACTGATAGCGACAGCTCTTTGGATCTCATCTTGAGAGTTGACAGCAACAGATTCCAAATGCAAATAGCACACTTGAAATGAACTCTGGACCTTTTATCTGCTCCTTGTAATTGGGATAATGAGGGAATAACACACACCTGGCCATGGAACAGCTGAGAAGCCAATTGTCCCATTACTTTTGGTCCCTTAATAAGTGGGAGGCACATATGCAAACTGTTGTAATTCCTACACCGTTCACCTGATTTGGATGTAAATACCCCCAAATTAAAGCTGACAGTCTGCAGTTAAAGCACATCTTGTTCGTTTCATTTCAAATCCATTGTGGTGGTGTATAGAGCCAAAAATGTTAGAATTGTGTCCCCCCCCCCAAAGCACCTTGTCCCCATGTTGATGGGGACAAGGGCCTCTTCCCCTCAACCCTGGCCTGTGGTTGTGGGGGTCTGCAGGTGGGGGGCTTATCAGAATCTGGAAGCCCCCTTTTACAAGGGGGCCTCCAGATCCCGCCCCCCCTACGGAAATGAGTATGGGGTACTCATTCACAAAAAATAAAAAAAGTGTAGTGTAAACAAAGACAGAACACCGTCTTTGACAAGTCCTTTAATAAAAGAAAAATCTGTCCCCCGAAGCAGATCCAACGTCAATCACGATGTAAGCCGCCGGCAACCCGAAAAAAAAAGAAAAAAGGTTCCGCTCCCTACGATGGCATTCAGTCCTCTGCTGTGAGCTGGGTTGACAGCTCTTAAATATGTAAGGGGCGGGGCCACCCGGGGACATCATCCGAGTGACCCCGCTCCATGTGACATCATTGATGTCACATGGGGTAGGGTCACATGTGTGATGTCGTGGGTGGCCCTGGCCCTTACATATTTAGCAACTGTGAAACACCCGGAGCTGACACACCACAGGAGCCAGCGTTGGGAACAGGACCTTATTTATTTATTTTTTATTTCAGGTCACTGGCGGCTTACATCGTGATTGATGTTGGATCTACTTCGGCGGACATTCTTTTAGATTTTTCTTTTAATAAAGGACTTGTCAAAGACTGTGTCCTGTCTTTTTTTACACTACACTTTTTGTTTTTTGTGAATGAGTAGCGGTACTGTCAGGAATGGACTTGCCAGTAATGGTGGGACTCACCTGCCTTGTGGGCTGCAGTACCAGGGCTGGCCAGCGGGTGCTCCCAGCAATCAGAGACTCAACTAGAGATGAGCGAATTATTCAAAAATTCGGTTCGGCTGATTCGCCGAATTCGCGGAAAAAATTTGCTTCGAGCCGAATATATTCGCTGCGAATTTAACTTATAAAAAGGGTGTTTCTAGGCTTCAGAGAGCCTTTATATTAGTGCAGAACACTGTACCTTTAATTTAAATGCCCTTGGAGTCTGCTGGGGAAGAGAAATAATACTGTCAGTCAGTATGACATGCAGATGAGTGCCGTCGATCTTAGAATCACCGCACACTTCACTCATTTGGGCAGTCACGGGGCCAAAACCAGAGTGTGGAGCCACAGTGTGGCGGTGGAGGCAGCAGCAATGGGAGGCCATACAGCACCCTATGACAAAATGGAACCCACCAGCAGTGTGAGGAGACCTGAAAGTGGCACATGGCAGAGTGTGGCGATGGAGACAGCAGCAATGGGAGCCGTACAGGGACCCATGACACACTCTGGACCTGGCAGCAGCATGAGGAGGCGGTACAGGGGCCCATGACAGATTACGGGCCTGGCAGCAGCATGAGGAGTCGGTACGGGAGCCCATGGCAGATTACGGGCCTGGCAGCAGCATGAGGAGGCGGTACAGGGGCCCATGGCAGAGTGGCGGAGCGTAAGCAGCTAAAATTGAAGGCCATACAGAGGCCTATGTTAAAAAGTCCCCCCAGCAGCAGCGTGGGGAGACGACTATCAAGAGTCCAATGGCAGAGTGGCGGAGCAGAAGCAGCTTCAATTGAAGGCCATACACAGGCCTAGGTTAAAAAGCGGAAGCCGTCAGCAGTGTGAGCAGACGACAGAGACACATGGCGCAGGGTGGCGGTGGATGCAGCAGTATTCGGAAGCCAAACACAGGCCTCGGTTAAAAAGCGGAAGCCGTCAGCAGCGTGAGCAGACGACAGAGGCACATGGCGCAGGGTGGCGGTGGATGCAGCAGTATTCGGAAGCCATACACAGGCCTAGGTTAAAAAGCGGAAGCCGTCAGCAGCGTGAGCAGACGACAGAGACACATGGCGCAGGGTGGCGGTGGATGCAGCAGTATTCGGAAGCCAAACACAGGCCTCGGTTAAAAAAGCGGAAGCCGTCAGCAGCGTGAGCAGACGACAGAGGCACATGGCGCAGGGTGGCGGTGGAGGCAGCAGTATTCGGAAGCCATACACAGGCCTAGGTTAAAAAGCGGAAGCCGTCAGCAGCGTGAGCAGACGACAGAGACACATGGCGCAGGGTGGCGGTGGATGCAGCAGTATTCGGAAGCCAAACACAGGCCTCGGTTAAAAAAGCGGAAGCCGTCAGCAGCGTGAGCAGACGACAGAGACACATGGCGCAGGGTAGCGGTGGATGCAGCAGTATTCGGAAGCCAAACACAGGCCTCGGTTAAAAAGCGGAAGCCGTCAGCAGCGTGAGCAGACGACAGAGGCACATGGCGCAGGGTGGCGGTGGAGGCAGCAGCAATGGAAGGCCATACAGCACCCTATCACAAAATGAACCCACCAACAGTGTAAGGAGACCTGAAAGTGGCACATGGCGCAGGGTGGCGGTGGAGGCAGCAGTATTCGGAAGCCATACACAGGCCTAGGTTAAAAAGCGGAAGCCGTCAGCAGCGTGAGCAGACGACAGAGACACATGGCGCAGGGTGGCGGTGGATGCAGCAGTAATCGGAGGCCAAACACAGGCAGTTAAAAAGCGGAAGCCAAAGCAGACACACAGGCACATGGCGGAAGCCTCAGCAGCGAAGCCGTCTCGCAGCGTGAGCAGACAACAGAGGCACATGGCGCATGGTGGCGGTGGAGACAGCAGTATTCGGAAGCCAAACACAGGCCTAGGTTAAAAAGCAGAAGCCGTCAGCAGCGTGAGCAGACGACAGAGACACATGGCGCAGGGTGGCGGTGGATGCAGCAGTATTCGGAAGCCAAACACAGGCCTCGGTTAAAAAGCGGAAGCCGTCAGCAGCGTGAGCAGACGACAGAGACACATGGCGCAGGGTGGCGGTGGATGCAGCAGTATTCGGAAGCCAAATTCAGGCCTCGGTTAAAAAGCGGAAGCCGTCAGCAGCGTGAGCAGACGACAGAGACACATGGCGCAGGGTGGCGGTGGATGCAGCAGTATTCGGAAGCCAAACACAGGCCTCGGTTAAAAAGCGGAAGCCGTCAGCAGCGTGAGTAGACGACAGAGGCACATGGCGCAGGGTGGCGGTGGAGGCAGCAGTATTCGGAAGCCATACACAGGCCTAGGTTAAAAAGCGGAAGCCGTCAGCAGCGTGAGCAGACGACAGAGACACATGGCGCAGGGTGGCGGTGGATGCAGCAGTATTCGGAAGCCAAACACAGGCCTCGGTTAAAAAGCGGAAGCCGTCAGCAGCGTGAGCAGACGACAGAGGCACATGGCGCAGGGTGGCGGTGGAGGCAGCAGTATTCGGAAGCCATACACAGGCCTAGGTTAAAAAGCGGAAGCCGTCAGCAGCGTGAGCAGACGACAGAGGCACATGGCGCAGGGTGGCGGTGGAGACAGCAGTATTCGGAAGCCATACACAGGCCTAGGTTAAAAAGCAGAAGCCGTCAGCAGCGTGAGCAGACGACAGAGACACATGGCGCAGGGTGGCGGTGGATGCAGCAGTATTCGGAAGCCAAACACAGGCCTCGGTTAAAAAGCGGAAGCCGTCAGCAGCGTGAGCAGACGACAGAGGCACATGGCGCAGGGTGGTGGTGGAGGCAGCAGTATTCGGAAGCCAAACACAGGCCTCGGTTAAAAAGCGGAAGCCGTCAGCAGCGTGAGCAGACGACAGAGGCACATGGCGCAGGGTGGCGGTGGAGGCAGCAGTATTCGGAAGCCATACACAGGCCTAGGTTAAAAAGCGGAAGCCGTCAGCAGCGTGAGCAGACGACAGAGACACATGGCGCAGGGTGGCGGTGATGCAGCAGTATTCGGAAGCCAAACACAGGCCTCGGTTAAAAAGCGGAAGCCGTCAGCAGCGTGAGCAGACGACAGAGACACATGGCGCAGGGTGGCGGTGGATGCAGCAGTATTCGGAAGCCAAACACAGGCCTCGGTTAAAAAGCGGAAGCCGTCAGCAGCGTGAGCAGACGACAGAGGCACATGGCGCAGGGTGGTGGTGGAGGCAGCAGTATTCGGAAGCCATACACAGGCCTCGGTTAAAAAGCGGAAGCCGTCAGCAGCGTGAGCAGACGACAGAGGCACATGGCGCAGGGTGGCGGTGGAGGCAGCAGTATTCGGAAGCCATACACAGGCCTAGGTTAAAAAGCGGAAGCCGTCAGCAGCGTGAGCAGACGACAGAGACACATGGCGCAGGGTGGCGGTGGATGCAGCAGTATTCGGAAGCCAAACACAGGCCTCGGTAAAAAGCGGAAGCCGTCAGCAGCGTGAGCAGACGACAGAGACACATGGCGCAGGGTGGCGGTGGATGCAGCAGTATTCGGAAGCCAAACACAGGCCTCGGTTAAAAAGCGGAAGTCGTCAGCAGCGTGAGCAGACGACAGAGGCACATGGCGCAGGGTGGCGGTGGAGGCAGCAGTATTCGGAAGCCATACACAGGCCTAGGTTAAAAAGCGGAAGCCGTCAGCAGCGTGAGCAGACGACAGAGACACATGGCGCAGGGTGGCGGTGGATGCAGCAGTATTCGGAAGCCAAACACAGGCCTCGGTTAAAAAGCGGAAGCCGTCAGCAGCGTGAGCAGACGACAGAGGCACATGGCGCAGGGTGGCGTGGAGCAGCAGTATTCGGAAGCCAACACAGGCCTCGGTTAAAAAGCGGAAGCCGTCAGCAGCGTGAGCAGACGACAGAGACACATGGCGCAGGGTGGGTGGTGGATGCAGCAGTATCGGAAGCCAAACACAGGCCTCGGTTTTAAAAAGCGGAAGCCTTCAGCAGCGTGAGCAGACGACAGAGACACATGGCGCAGGGTGGCGGTGGATGCAGCATATTCGGAAGCCAAACACAGGCCTAGGTTAAAAAGCGGAAGCCGTCAGCAGCGTGAGCAGAGGCACATGGCGCACAGTGGAGGCAGCATGGCGCAGGCCTAGTGCGGAAGCCGTGGCGTGCAGCATAGTATGGCGCTGGATCGCAGTAAGCCAAACACAGCCTCGGTTAAAAAGCGGAAGCCGTCAGCAGCGTGAGCAGACGACAGAGACACATGGCGCAGGGTGGCGGGTGGATGCAGCAGTATTCGGAAGCCAAACACAGGCCTCGGTTTAAAAAGCGGAAGCCGTCAGCAGCGTGAGCAGACGACAGAGGCACATGGCGCAGGGTGGCGGTGGAGGCAGCAGTATTCGGAAGCCATACACAGGCCTAGGTTTAAAACTGGAACCCAGCAGCGTGAGCAGACGACAAAGACGCACATGGCAGAGGTGGTGGAGGCAGGATCTGGCAGCAGTATGAGAAGGCGGTACAGGGGCCCGTGGCACAGTGTGGTGATGGGGCTACAGCAACTGGATGCCAGAAAGTGGCCGATAGGGCTATATACTGCATGACTACATAGGTGGTTTTTATAGTACTTTATTTTGGCCTCCCTCTCAGCAGGTGTGAAAAAGGCCACCATTTTTGAACGGTAGCGAGGGTCCAACAAGGTGGACAGCCAAAAGTCATCCCTCTGTCTGATGGTTATTATTCGGCTGTCGCTACGCAAGCAACCGAGCATGCTATGGGCCATTTGTGCCAAGGAATGCGAGGGACTCCCTGCCTCCATCTCCACAGCATACTGCCACGGTGCGTCTGGGTCCTCTGTCTCCTCCTCCTCCTCTACCAGATGCTCCTGCTCCTCCACTCCTGTCCGCTGAGTGGAAAAACCACCCATTTCACTCAATAATTCCTGAGCACCAATGTCCTCCTCTACCTCCTCCTCTTCTTCCTGTCCTGCCCCCACAGGGGTCATGTGGCATTGAGATCTGTGCGCCACGTCTACCGCACCCTGACCAGCCATTGTTAACAGCATTTGTTCCAGGACGTGCAACAGAGGAATGACGTCGTTCATCCCATAGTCCTGCCGACTCACGAATAACGTGGCCTCCTCAAAGGGCCTGAGCAAGCGGCAGGTGTCACGCATGAGCTGCCAATGGCTGACATCTAAGTTACACAGGGGAGTACCTTTATCCGCTTGTAACATCAGGAAATCGGTGATGGCCTTTCGCTGTTCGTAAAGGCGGTCTAACATATGTAGGGTTGAATTCCACCTTGTTGCAACGTCGCAGATCAGGCGATGCTGTGGAATTCCGTGGTGCCGCTGCAGCTCAAGGAGGGTGTGCTTTGCGGTGTAGGAATGGCTGAAATGCATGCAAAGTTTACGTGACATTTTAAGGATGTCTTGCAGTGGGATGGTGGATTTTAGGAACCCGCTTGACAACCAGATTGAACACGTGAGCCATGCATGGCGCATGGCACAACTTTCCTTGACGCAGAGCAGACACCATGTTCTTTCCGTTGTCGGTCAACATGGTTCCGATTTTCAGTTTGCACGGAGACAGCCATCTGTCGATTTCTCTGTTCATTACACTCAGAAGTTCCTCCCCTGTGTGACTACGTTCGCCAGGTGCAGCACAGCGTGACACCGTTGTGCCCTGCACATGTGATATGCGGTCGGGTAATGGGACTTGGCACGGGGGTGGCGGCTGAGGATACGGCGGAAGAAGAGGTGGTAGAGGCGGACATCTTTGCTGGACCAAGGACGTGCAAACGTGGAGGCAAAAAGCGGCGTGACCTGTCCAAGTTGCTGGTGCGGCTGTGCCGGCACCACGTTCACCCAGTGGGCCGTAAATGACATGTACTGTCCCTGACCGTAGTTACAGCTCCACACAATCGGCGCTGCCGTGCACTTTGGCAGAGACCGACATGCTCAAAGACTGGCCCACCATCTCTTCTACATGTGAATGCAGGGCTGGCACTGCCTTTTTGGCGAAGAAATGCCGGCTTGGCACTCTCACACCGCGGCGCGGCACAAGCCATCATTTCTCGGAAAAGGTGCTGAGTCCACCACTTGGAAAGGGAGGGACTGCAGCACCAGCAACTTGGACAGGAGGACGTTCAGCTTCTGTACCGTCGGGTGCGTGCTCGCAAAACTGTTGTCTCTTGGAAACGGATTCCAAGAAAGACTGCTGACGGAATCCGTGAAGAGGTGTAGCAGGAGAAGGAGCATCTGAACGAGCGGAAGATGCCAACGAGCGACAACTCCCCTCAGCAGAGGTGTTGGAGCCTTGACTGGCTGATAGAGGGCGATTGACGTCGGGTGACGGAGCAAGTAACGGAGCGGGTGATGGAGCGGGGGCTGGGGCAGGCAGAACCGCCGTATCTTTATCACGGTTTTCCCAGGCCACCGAATGGCGACGCTGCATATGCTGACGCAACGCTGTAGTCCCAACATTGGCCCCCTGGCCACGCTTGACTTTCTGGCCACATAGTCGACATACGGCTACGTTTACTTCCTCGGGCGGCTTGACGAAAAATTGCCACACCGCCGAGTAGGAAACTTTGCCCCCCGCTACTCCTCACTGGCTGACTGCTACTTCCTCCGTGCACACCGGCACCACTACTGGCCGTGGTGGTAGGCTGCAGTGGAGCTGGTGCTCTACTCCGTGGCCGTTTGCCTCCACTGACACTGCT